TCAAAAAAAAAAAAAAAAAAAAAAGAACGAACTACCGGCCAGGTGGATATTGTAGGTGACATGCACCTACAATATAGCTTTTAACAAAATAGGCAAAGTCCTTGTTATTAAACAAGGTGTTCTGGTGTTCATTCAACAAATGAAAAGAGCTAATTCTTATATATTGCTTAACAGTTCAGGCACCAAGTTGTATACAGTGTTCACACCTACTTTTTTTTTTTTTTTTTTTTTAGAGACAGAGTCTCAAGCTATCACCCTTGGTAGAGTGCTGTGATGTGATAGCTTACAGCAACCTCAACCCTTGGGTTTAAGTGATTCTCTGGCCTCAGCCTCCCAAGTAGCTGGGACTACAGGTACTCACCACAACGCCCGGCTATTTTTGGTTGCAGTTACCATTGTTATTTAGCTGTCCTGGGCCAGGTTCGAACCGGTCACTCTTGCATACCTACTTGTTTTAATTTTCCTAACAGCTCTGTGAAGGAACAGACATAGAGCGGATAAGTGAAGTGCACAGCTAGTATGTGGAACAGCTGGAATTTAGATCAAGGTTACCTGGCTCAGGTGGGGGCTCTTGATAAGGTGTATTGATTCTGTGTATAGTGGACAAGCTCCTTTTCTGCCACGTGTATATAAGTTAGATGAAGGTCCCTATACTGACTGGGAAGTAGAGAGAGAGCAAAGCCCATTGAGAGGTGTCCAGCCTTTTTCTTTTCTGCCACATCTTGGAAGAAGAGTTGTCCTGGGCCATATATTAAATACACAAACTCAAGGTAGCTAGGTAGGGTGGAAAAAAAATCCATGCATCAGGCGGTGACTGTGGCTCAAAGGAGTAGGGCACTGGCCCCATTTGCTGGAGGTGGTGGGTTCAAACTCAGCCCTGGCCAAAAAGTGAAAAAAACAAAACAAAAACCATGCATCCTCTTTGCCACACACAGATAAGTGAAACCATCATCAAATAATGTGTGTGTTGCCTGCGGGGATGTAGGTTGGACGCCCCTGGGTTCTCTCTTTTTCCCTCTCTTTTTGTCTTCTCTTATGACTTTTCTATCCTTTCCATCTATTTTCTGCATTCTTCTCTTCTCTCTTTGGTTGCTTTTTTTTTTGCAGTCTTTGGCCGGGGCTGGGTTGGAACCCACCACCTCCGGCATATGGGGCTGGTGCCCTACTCC